ACCGGTTGAGACCTGATTTGTGACCTAGGTTGTGATAGATTCCGGAGAATGTTCCATGGGCACTAGAGAAGAGTGTGTACTCCGTTGCTTTGGGATGGAATGTTCTGAATATGTCTGTGAAGTCCATTTGGTCCAGTGTGTCATTATAAAGTCTTTATTTCCTTGTTGATCTTTTGCTTAGATGATCTGTCCATTTCAGTCAGGGGGTGTTAAAGTCCCCCGCTATTATTGTATTGTTGTCAATGTGTTTCTTTGCTTTCGTTATTAATTGCCTTATATAATTGTCTGCTCCCATGTTAGGGGCATAGATATTTACAATTGTTAGATCTTCTTGTTGGATAGACCCTTTAAGTAGGATATAGTGTCCTTCCTCATCTCTTATTACAGTCTTTGTTTTAAAATCTAATTTGTTTCATATAAGGATTGCCACCCCAGCTTTCTTTTGGTGTCCATTAACATGGTAAACGTGTTACAATATATTAACAAAAGAAAGAACAAGAATCATATGATCCTCTCAATAGATGCAGAAAAAGCATTTGACAAAGTACAGCATCCTTTCTTGATCAAAACTCTTCAGAGTATAGGGATAGAGGGGACATACTTCAATATCATAAAAGCCATCTATGAAAAACCCACAGCGAATATCATTCTCAATGGGGAAAAGCTGAGAGCTTTCCCCCTAAGGTCAGGAACACGGCAGGAATGTCCACTATCACCACTGCTATTCAATATAGTATTAGAAGTCCTACCCATAGCAATCAGACAATAAAAAGAAATCAAAGCATCCAAATCGGCAAAGAGGAAGTCAAACTCTCACTCTTTGCAGATGATATGATACTTTATGTGGAAAACCCAAAAAACTCCACCCCAAAACTGCTAGAACTCATACAGGAATTCAGTAAAGTGGCATGATATAAAATCAATGCACAGAAATCAGTGGCATTCCTATATACCAACAACAAGACAGAAGAGAGACAAATCAAGGAGTCGATCCCATTCACAATTGCACCCAACACACATAAGATACCTGGGAATAAATCTAACCAAAGAGGCAAAGGATCTATACTCAGAAAACTGTAAAATACTCATGAAAGAAACTGAGGAAGACACAAAGAAATGGAAAAACATTCCATGCTAATGGATTGGAAGAACAAACATTGTGAAGATGTCAATGCTACCTAGAGCAATCTACACATTCAATGCAATCCCCATCAATATACCATCCACTTTTTTCAAGAAATGGAACAAACAATCCTAATATTTTTATGGAACCAGAAGAGACCCCGAATAGCCAGAGGAGTGTTGAAAAAGAAAAAGCAAAGCTGGCGGCATCACAATTCCGGACTTCCAGCTCTACTACAAAGCTGTCATCATCAAGACAGTATGGTACTGGCACAAAAAACAGACACATAGATCAATGGAACAGAATAGAGAGCCCAGAAATGGACCCTCAACTCTATGGTCAACTAATCTTTGACAAAGCAGGAAAGAATGTCCAATGGAAAAAACACAGTCTCTTCAACAAAGGGTGTTGGGAAATTGGACAGCCACATGCAGAAGAATGAAACTGGACTATTTCCTTACACCACACACAAAAATAGGCTCCAAATGGTTGAAAGACCTAATGTGAGACAGGAGTCCATCAAAATCCTAAAGGAGAACTCAGGCAGCAACCTCTTCGACCTCAGCCACAGCAACTTCTTCCTAGAAACATTACCAACGGCAAGGGAAGCAAGGGCAAAAATGAACTATTGGGATTTCATCAAGATAAAAAGCTTTTGCACAACAAAAGAAACAGTCAACAAAACCAAAAGACAACCGACAAAATGGGAGAAAATATTTGTAAATGACATATCAGATAAAGGGCTAGTATCCAAAATCTATAAAGAACTTATCAAACTCAACACCCAAAGAACAAATAATCCAATCAAGAAATGGGCAGAAGACATGAACAGACATTTTTCCAAAGAAGACATCCAAATGGCCAACAGACACATGAAAAAGTGCTCAACATCGTTCGGCATCAGGGAAATCCAAATCAAAACCTCAATGAGATACCACCTCACACCAGTCAGAATGGCTAAAATTAACAAGTCAGGAAACGACAGATGTTGGCAGGGATGCGGAGAAAGGGGAACCCTCCTACACTGTTGGTGGGAATGCAAGCTGATGCAACCACTCTGGAAAACAGTATGGAGGTTCCTCAAAAAGTTGAAAATAGAGCTACCATATGAACCAACAATTGCACTACTGGGCATTTACCCCAAAGATACAAATGTAGGGATCTGAAGGGGTACATGCACCCCAGTGTTTATAGCAGCAATGTCCACAATAGCCAAACTGTGGAAAGAGCCAAGATGTCCATCGACAGATGAATATGTATATATATATATATATACATATATATATGTGTATATATATATATATATATATATATATAATGGAATATTATGCAGCCATCAAAAGGAATGAGATCTTGCCATTTGCAACGATGTGGATGGAACTGGAGGGTGTTATGGTGAGTGAAATAAGTCAATCAGAGAAAGACATGTATCATATGACCTCACTGATATGAGAAACTCTTAATCTCAGGAAACAAACTGAGGGTTGCCGGAGTGGTAGGGGGTGGGAGGGATGGGGTGGCTGGGTGATAGACATTGGGGAGGGTATATGCTATGGTGAGTGCTGTGAATTGTGCAATACTGTCGAATCACAGATCTGTACCTCTGAAACAAATAATGCAATATGTGTTAAAAAAAAAAAAAGAAGAAGATAGCAGGAGGGGAAGAATGAAGGGGAGTAAATCGGAGGGGGAGACGAACCATGAGAGACGATGGACTCTGAAAAACAAACTGAGGGTTCTAGAGGGGAAGGGGGTGGGAGGATGGTTTAGCCTGGTGATGGGTATTAAAGAGGGCACGTTCTGCCTGGAGCACTGGGTGTTATGCACAAACAATGAATCATGGAACACTACATCAAAAAACTAATGATGTAATGTATGGTGATTAACATAACAATAAAAAATGAAAAAGAAAAAAAAGAAGTGTGGCGCTTAGTTTTGAAGGCAGCCAGATGAAAGGAAGGACAGGCACATTGCAAGCTGAGAGGAAACCATAGGCAGATATGTCTGTGTAATATTTAGCACACCTAAGTGCCAAGATGTGTTATTACTTAGACAATTCTCTTTTGAGGGACATTAAGTTCTTCTGAGTTTGTGTTAAGATAGCAATGCATTAAGGGGCGCCTGGGTGGCTCAGATGTTTGGGCATCTGCCTTCTGCCCAGGTCATGATCTCCAGGTCCTCTGATCGAGACCAACGTCTAGCTCCCTGGTCAGCAGGGAGCCTGCTTCCCCCTCTCCCTCTGCCTCTCCCCTTGCTTGTGCTCTGTCTCTCTCTCTCAAATGAATAAATAAAATCCTTTTTTTTTAAAGGTAGCAATGCATTGAAATCCTTTACTTAACCTTTTAATATTTCCACTTATTTTCTCTGGAAAGATACCTAAGACTGGATTGCAGAATCAAAATTATAAAGCTTTTTAAGATTCTTTATCTTCCTGAAGAATTGTTCAAATTGTATTCACTTCAATTATGTATGATAGGATCCACATCACCAAAACGTTGCTAGCCCTGAATAATATAATTTTGTTCCTGGGTTGAATGGATATATAATGAATGGTCTCTGGTTAAAATCAACGCAAATTCACATCCTAGACCTACAACTTAGTGCTAGAATAAGCTTGACAGCTCTTAATCCAGATCCTTCATGCTTACAACAGGATAACACCTTCCTCACAAGGTTATTGAAAAGATAAGATAGAATAAAATGTATAACCTTACTGTTTTACATAGAAAACATTCAATTAATATTTCATACCTCTGTGTGAGATTGGCATTATAAACATACACTAAAACAAATATAGGACAAGAATTTTTCAATTACTTGTGCATTTGTACTACAGATTATAATTCTTATGTATCTTATATAAAATCTCTTGATAAACAAAATTGGCATAGCTCATTTTTAAGTAATTGGGGTAGTAAAACAAAACATTTAAGTTAGATTACTAAAGTCGATAATTTATGAAGTGATATTTTTAAATGGTTAATTTTAATAACAATAATAATATAAATACCAGCGAAATTTTAGTTACCATTTAATATAGGACTTTGCTTTTATGTAAAAATTTTAAAGATGAATTCTTTCAAATAATTATACAGTCAAGATATTGAGACTCAAAGAGGTTATGATTGATTGGCATTTGTGCTACATGATAGTTCTAGAATGGGGCAAGACTAAAAACCATTTTGTGTGTCTTCACAATTAGGTTATTTCAATAAAATAATATAATAATATTGTCTGTTTTTTCTTAATTATTTTTATAGCGGTCTGATGTAGGGTCTGGAGAATTGACAGAGCTTCATAGGAACTGATTAATTTTCAAGTCAACTTTGTGGATTAAATTAAAGCATCTCTGTTTTAATTAAAACTAGAAATGATAGTTCAGGAAAAAATTCTTAATTGTGATATTGACATTTCAACTTAGATTTTATATCTGTTTCAAAATATCTGATAGAAGAAATTATATGAGTAAGACAAGATTTAAAAATGACATAAGACCACTGATTTTGTTATCCTAAACTCACATTTTATAATGAGGTTTGTTCCAGAAACAGATTTCACATATGTAGATAGCTATTAATTAACTGAATAGATAATTTTTTGTCAGATTATTAAAAGCAAACTTAACTCTGAGCATTAATGTTTCCTATTTTAATAATTGATCAATTTTGAATATTTGTGTATTAATTTTAAGATTATTTGGTGAAACAGTCAAATAACATATTTTCATGAGTTCTGATGTCATATATTAAATATATGAAGTTAGAATTGCTGTGGCTTCTTTCTGTAGCCAAGCAGTTATTACTATTGTTTATGCTAATCAAGTGATTATTTATCTTAAAGTAAAGGTCCATAAACGTTACGTTATTTTGCTTTATAGATGCTCCAAAGTTTATATCAAACCAAACAATTTATTACTCTTGGGAAGGAAACCCGATCAATATAACCTGTGATGTGAAATCTAATCCACCAGCATCAGTCCACTGGAGAAGAGAGAAATTAGTCCTGCCAGCTAAAAACACCACTAATTTAAAGACATATAGTGCAGGGAGAAAGATGATATTAGAGGTAAGTCTTCATGTACGTATGAATAAGTTGTACTGTTTGAGCAGTTACCTACTATTTTAGAATATATATATATAAATATGTTAATATGAAAACATTTGTATAATATATATTTATAGTATATAATATACATACACATACAAATCTTATTGTGTATCTTTTTTGTGTATTTACTTAAAAAGGAAATATTATGCATTTGGATCATGGCCCATTAATGATTAATATCTCACTCTTATATAGAAATATGAGTGTATAGGAAAAGCCATTATTTTTCATAAATTTTTTAGAAAAAAAACAATTATATCAGGAAAAAACAGGGTGAGGGAATGAGTAATTCATTAGTTGTTAAGGGCCCAAAGCATTCATACTAGTTATTGATTCTGAGATTATGCCTTCCTTCTAAGACTGGCATATATAACATTTTGGTGGGTACGTATTTACAAGTTTCTAAATAAACCAGATTTACTTGTTCAATGCCCCATTTCATTTTATATTTTAAATTAAGATTGTAGATAATTTTCTTTATAGTGACAAGTGCCTGGCCTTTAAATTCTGTTTGAATACAATACCTTTTTTTTATTTTTCTACTTTATTTTACATTTTTTTAAATTTTATTATGTTCTGTTAATCACCATACATTACATCATTAGTTTTTGATGTAGTGTTCCATGATTCATTGTTTGCATATAACACCCAGTGCTCCATTCAGTACGTGCCCTCTTTAATACCCATCACCAGGCTAACCCGTCTCCCCATCTGCATCCCCTCTAGAACCCTCATTTTGTTTTTCAGAGTCCATAGTTTCTCATGGTTCGTCTCCCCCTCTGATTTCCCCCCCTTCATTTTCCCTTCCTACTATATTCTTTTTTGAATACAATACCTTTTATTTATTAATTGTAGATTGTGTGTGTGTGTGTGTGTGTATCAGTTCCCAAAGTTTGTGTGTCTATGATCAAAATCATGAACACTTCCAGTTTATCATGCTTTCAGTACAATTGGGAATCTTTCTCAAATAGCCTTATATAGCTGAAAGGATGCTGTTTTTCCCTGTAATTCAATTTACATACATTTTAAAAATATATGTTTTAAAATAACATCTGATACTCATAATGCATTAACTTAAAGGTATTCTCATTGGTGCCATATTCTTTTCGACCTGGTAATTGGACTTCATGAAATATTTGGTTGATAGAAGGATTTAGCCATCACTTCCCCAAATATTTGGATAACTCTTTGCTAATTAAACAAGTGTCTTAATCTGTTTCTTTTTAGTTTTGTTTTTTATTATTTACTTATTAATATAGCCAAAAAAGATGAAAAGGTAGGACTCTAAAAGGAACTCTTTTTTTGTATTGATTTTCTAGACCTAGGGCAGAAAGGCTTTAATTATCACTTATATGCCCAACAAATACATATATTATAAAATATTAGTAAGGCAAACATCTGTGCACACCACCCATTACAAAGGATTTAAACACCTTGAGATGGGTGGTGTCTAAATCTGTTTCAATTTATTAAATTGGTTTCTTTGTAACTTTATTAGGACTATTGATGAATTGACACAGAGGAACACATAGAAAGAGGAAATGAAGTTTAGGAAAGTTTAGGAAAAAGACTCGTGAACTCCTTTATTAACATTGTACTCCCAGGGTGCCTGGGTGGCTCAGTTGTTAACTGTCTGCCTTCAGCTCAGGTCATGATCCCAGGGTCCTGGGATAGAGTCCCACATCGGGCTCCCTGCTCAGTGGGAAGCCTGCTTCTCCCTCTCCCACTCCCCCTGCTTATGTTCCCTCTCTCTCTGTGTCTCTCTCTGTCAAATAAATAAATAAAATCTTTAAAACAAAAAAACATTGTACTCCCAGCTCATATTTTGATGTTCAAAATTATACTTGTTGATCTGTTATGTACTATTAAAGCCCAATATCTTAAGTAATCTTGAATTATTTTAACTGCATATTAAAATGTGAAAAATTGGTGTCATATGTAGATGTTTCTAGCACTTCCTGGGTAAATATCAGCAATAATTGGTATATTTTAAACATTTAAATATTTTTAAATTAAAGCTTTAGAATATACATTTGTTGTATAATAATTTATTTTTTTATAAAATTACCTGTCATATCATTGTGCTGGGATTGGGCATAAAGCCACTATTGCACGTTGTATTCATATTGCTTTCCTAGAACACATGAAATATGCTGCAGGGCACATGATTTGGCCAGGTTATATCGAAGTCTGTGGGTTGTTTTTTTTGTTTTTGTTTTTTTTTAATAATCTGTGCTACTAGGGGTGTCTTCTGTATTTGTTAATCATACAACATGATAAAGAAATTATTTCAGATAAAACTGTAAAACTTTTATCTTTTAATAGGTGAACTCCAAAGAACAGAAAACAAACAAATAAATTAAAAAAAAAAAACCTGAATTGAGCCTTTTAAAAGTTGTTCCAATGAACTGGCTATATTAAATTACTTTTTTAATATTGAGGGGCTGCACAATAGTCCTGATTCTTTGTCACGGCCATCCTGTCTGCCTTTTATCAATTCAGTGCACATTGTTCCCTATGGACTATACAAATAACTCTCCTCTGCCTGTAAAATGTAGAAATTTGGGGGGCAGATTCCTTTCTCACTAGTAAAATTATTTTCAAGGTAAATTACCCTGGTTTATTAAAACCTGCATGTGAGAAGAATGAATGTTTTAATCACTCAGGAGTACTTATGTAAGAATGGTTAAAGCCTCTAATCCTTAAACTTATGATCTATTTCTAGATAGACAGCTAACCAGAGAATAAGTGACACAGCTTTTTTGTGCTTTTTCAGAATTACCATCTTCAATGGACCTCAAAATTGCACTTTTAGTTAATGGCCTCCCATTACCACAAAATCATTTTCCCCCCTTTTGGAATAGAATTGAAATTAACAGCAACTTGTTGTAAGCATATTCTCTCTTAATAATAGTTACTGGGATTGAAAATTGTATCTATTACTATCATCAAATCTCTTTTCTGCATTGATACTTCAGAATTTTGGTACATTAGAATTACAGAGTTGGCCCCAACATTCAGCAATAGATTCCTGAAAGGTTAACTTAATTACAGATTTCAAATGCGTAAGGACTGAGGTCAGCTATTTTCCACCTAAACTGAAAAAGAATTATAGGAATTCAACAGAAACGGAGGCAAGATACTATTATTAGCCATTGAGATAATGTGCCTGTCTACAGGGATTGCTACACAAGGGCAACATTTTCTTGCAAAATGGGAAGGTTTTGTTGTTGTTGTTGTTGTTGTTGTTTTTAGAATGAGTCCTCATCCTTCGTTAATATTTTATATTCAATAAAATCATGAGAGGGAAAAATAACTAATGTATTTCCGGCCTTTCGTGAACTTTAAATCTGCTTGACTTTAGGCTAAAAAGTTCATGTCTGCAGCAATTGCAGAATATATATGTTTCAAACTGTGTACTACTTTATGAGCTTTACATACCAAATATCTAATGATTTTGCTATTCAAGAGATATAAAATAATGGTGGCATTTGTCTACCGCATAAATTAATAGTTAAGCTATACTTCACCTAGTGCTGTGCAAATATAGGTTCATGTATTACATCTTAAAAGGGTGTGACGCTTACTTGATACAGGAAAAAAAAAGAGTATGGCTAGGAGTTGTGAATAATTGAACATGTGTGAAGTTGGTAGGTATACTAGAGTTTATTTTAAAACTGCCATGATATTGTTTTAAAATTGTTAAACTTTTTATTATTATGATTATTTTAGATAGCACCTACATCTGAGAATGACTTTGGACGATATAATTGCACAGCCACTAACCGTATAGGAACAAGATTTCAAGAATATATTCTTGCTTTGGCTGGTAAGTATAGCACAGTAATTTATAAGAACTCATAAAATATATCTAAAGCAAATAGCTTTATATTTTAGTAAGTCATGATACAGGTTATTATTAGGAAGAATGAACCAGTGCTTAAAAATTTAGAACAGTTGCATCTGACAGATAGATGGTGAGAACTTAGAATATATTTAGTGATCAGGATTGATTTTAAACCCTGATTCTGATCCCCCAGCTTTACAAGTGAGCTATCTATAAAAGAAGTAGAAAAGGTATATCTGAGGAAAGCAAATTATATTTTATGCTAAGTAGGAATCCTATCAAAAAAGTTTAAAAGTCATCTTGAGAGAAAATAAACTAAAATTAATATATTTTAAAATCCTAAACTTGAAAGTACAAATAATAAGCTTATTTTTAAGGTAAATAGAAAATTTAGAGTTATAAGTTGCACTGAAGGCTGTTGCATTTTGTATATGAAAGCATTCTAGTTGTTCCCCAAAAGCTTAAAGGTATCTAAATAGTAACATGTAGATACAATTCATTTTAACTAGAAATCCAGTTATGTTTTTAGTTATATAAGTAAGTTATATATAACACACATATATATATTGTAATGTTATGTTTTAATAGAATAAGTAGCTTCCATGAAAATATTTTTAAATGTTTTATAAGTAGAATTCTAGTATATAACCATAATTTAAGTCACGAAATATATTTACTTCTATTGGTATGTAAATCATGTCATTAGTTGTAAAGACCAAAGGAAATTTACAAGTTTACAAAGCTAACAATACTCAAATTATTATGTACCTGAAATCTGTTTCTCTCCACTTCAAGTTGTGCTACACTAGAGAAGGGATTGTGGGAAAGGGCTTTAGGGAAGAAAGGAGGAAGGAAAATATTGAGATTAGAGGGAATTGAGGAAGAAAACGAAGGAGGGAGGGATTAAGGAAGAAAGGAAATAATGAATATTTATCACCTACCATGAGGTGATTTAGAAAATTAATCTCAATGACAATCATAGGAAGTAGACTATCCACATTTAGGCATATGAATAAACCATTACATAAGCAATTAAATTCTAGGAAAATGAAATGTGCTGAGTCATATCAAAATTCATTGATAATAAATTGAAGTGAGCATGATCTGTACTGATCAGAAGCATTCATTACTTACATTAATTCCAAGCCTCAGGAAATTAGGCAAAGTTTCTTGTAATTAGTATGAACTTTTTAATAAATAATAACTAAATATGTGATCAATATATGCATATGCAATTATATTAATACTAATATATATTTTATATTACTTTCTTACAAATAATGTAAGTTTGTATCTATTAGGTACACTTGTTAATGACCAGATTTTTAAAAAATTTTCAAGTGCTTGTAATTCTAGAAAAAAATATGAAAAATAGAATGTTATATTCATGAGATTTTGAAATCTTATTAAATTCTCAGGAAATGGGGCACCTGGGTGGTTCAATCATTAAGCATCTGCCTTTGGCTCAGGTCATGATCCCAGGGTCCTGGGATTGAGCCCTACATCGGGCTCCCTAATCTGCGGGAAGCCTGCTTCTCTCTCTTCTACTTACCCCTCCTTGTATTCCCTCTCTCACTGTCTCTCTCTCTCTCTGTCAAATAAATAAATAAAAAATATTAAAAAAAATTCTCAGGAAATATTTAATATCTGTATACCTGCATAGCTCACATTTCTTACTGTAACATTTTTCATTGAAAAATATGTTTGATACCTATCCTTCTAATGAAGATATTAACTTAATGAGTTTCCCTCAACCTAACCACAAAAAAAAATAGAAAATGTTCACTCAAGCTAAGAGCTAAAATGTTATTGGAAATACTTCTTGAATACTGCAGCTTTTCTAATACTTCAAAATTTTGTGACAAATACATACCTAAAATTTGTTTCAGAAGAGGTAGTTTCAACTGAAATTGTAACAGAGATATAAAAATAAATTAGACCCTGAGCCTTAGATGGGAAACATACGTTTAAACATCAGCATTTATAAACATTCTTCCTTTGATGGGAACTCTTTAGTTAATGCTTATAAAATTTGGTCTTTCCTGAAGGATTTGAACAATGAAAGTGCAAGGTGATTTTAAGTAAAATGTAAGAGAAATGTTATGTAGAAATTTAAATATTTCAAAATAGTTGTCAGTATCACAGCTCAATATCTCATTGGCCTATCCGACCTAGTAAAAGGTCCAGATCATTTGGCATGTGGTATTTTATTTTTTTTAAGATTCTTTTTATTTGACGGAGAGAGAGACAGCGAGAGAGGGAACACAAGCAGGGGGGAATGGGAGAGGGAGAAGCAGGCTTCCCGCTGAGCAGGGAGCCCGATGCGGGGCTCGATCCCAGGACCCTGGGATCATGACCTGAGCAGAAGGCGGACACTTAACGACTGAGCCACCAAGGCGCCCCAGCTTGTGGTATTTTATACTGTAACAGATTACTTTGATTTAAAAGGGCAATAAATTAAAACAGTGACAATTGCATATGAAATTACATGCTCTATATTCAGAGAAAAATACAGGAAAAAGCTCCCTTTTTAACTTCCTTTATTTCAAAAATCTCTTTTTCCTTTTCCTTTTCCTTCTTTTCTTCCATTTTTAGCACCTTTATAATTAAGGCTTACATCTGAGCGAAGGAGACATCTGTATGCAGGTGGGGGCACAGAAGCCTGCCATAAGGGGTCAGACCCTCAGCAGAGTTAATAGACTAGAGGGGGTTCAATGATCTAGTGTGGGGTGTTAGCGTCTAGGCAGGTGAGAAGGATTTGCATGTGCCAAGACAGAAATAGCAACCCGGGGAAGAGTGTTGGAACCTAATCAGTGTAAGGAGGGGTCCAAGTAAAGTGGTGGGGGCAGTGATGGATGATTCATTTCTACAAACGTAGGGGTAACATCCATGATTATATAAAAGTACAAAAACTAGAATGACCCTGGGGTAATGGTTGGGTATTGGAGTTACTGGTGTTAAATCTGGTTTTAATGTATGCAGATAGATATAGAAAGAAGAAAATAAGTTAAGGTGTGTGTTTGTGTGTATTCAGCCATTTCTACAAGGAACTTCTTGTTAGGAATCTTATTCAGAAAATGATTTCTGTATATGTAAGTGATGAGTCACTAAATGCTACACCTGAAACCAATTTTACTATGTGTGGTAACTAACTAAAATTTAAATAAAAACTTGAAATTAAAAATAAAAAGAAAGAAAACTATTTCTGAGCTAGCTCTATCCGCTGAGAGCACTTGGGAGCTCCCAACATCTCAACAGCAAAGAGCATATACGGCTGGCAACCATGTCTTGGTTTCTAATTCTGTTCCTTATTAAAAGTAACCACGGTTTCTTGTAAAAGTGGTTGATTCTAGGAGTAGGACAAAGAAAGTACAAGGTAAGCCTGGAACAATGTGTTGTGCCGGGCGGAAAAGAAATTAAAAAAAAAAAGACACAGGTCAAAAACATCCATCAGCCATTTTTAACAAATACCATAATACAAATGAATTCACCTGAGGGGCATCAGTGGTTGCTAATGCAGGTATATGTTGAGAAAAAATTTAGCAAGTTAGATGACAAAATAAAAATAAATAAATAAATAAATGGAAATACTCTTAAAAGTGCCTACGTCCAAATTATTTTTTAATTACCAGGGAAAAATAGCAACATTATAGTTGTAAGCTTACCAGATCCTACTTCAATTAAGTGATCAAAATTAACATCTCCATTAATGAGAAAATTAAACGTGGGTGCTACCAGAAATAGGCAACGAGAAGAACACAGAATAACAATTGTAATTTTCCTGCCAAAAATGCATAATCAGAATCTAGTATGAGGAAAGAAGACAAATCCAAATTGAGGTACTATCTACAATATAACCAGCCTTCAAAGTGTCAAAGCCGTGCAAAGGAATGATTAAGGAAACTTTCTATATTAAAGGACGGTGAAGATAAATATAACAAATAAATGCCATGCCTGCATCTTTTGTTATAAAGGACATTACTGGGATGATAGATGAAATTCGATTGTAATCTTTGGATTAGATAGTAATTTAATTGTTTTCTAGAGCTTATGTAGGAGAGTGTTTTGTTATAGTAAATACACACTAAAGTTGGCACCATGTCAACTTACTCTAAATGGCTCACATTAAAAAGATAAGTTCTATGCACTACTTACAAATTTTCTATAAATATGAAATTATGTTTTTAAAAAAGAATAAGGGCACCTGAGTGGCTCAGTCGGTTGAAATCAACTCTTGATCTTGGGGTTGTGAGTTCAAGCCTTGCATTAGACTCCACACTGGCATGGAGCCTACTTAAAAAAAAAAAAAAAAAAAGAAGGAAACTAAGGCCAATAAACAAATACACTTAAGATATAGTAGCTTAAGAAAAGCAACATAACTTGTGAATATAGATAGCATTCTTGATAAAAAAAATCCAATCTTTTATGTGTGTGCATACATAATTTCTATATGTGATCTTATAAATGGCTTTAAAATATTAAAAAGAATTTTTGCATATTAAATAATCATTGATTCACAGACAACTTGTGTTTTCTAATATGAAGGTATATTTTTTACTCTAAAATACAGTAATTTATTTAGACACCTTTTTTAAATATAATAATGAGTATAATTAATAAGTATGATGATAGTACTGTTCTTAACAATGGTGGTGTAGTCTTTATTTGGCAGGATATAGAAGTGTATGGTATAGCAGTGTATGGAAATTGGCATATAAACACCACTTATATTCATGAGCTGGATTTTTCACTTCTATCTTTAGAAAACTACAATTATATGGGAAATATCAGATATTTCTCATATGTGTTTGATAACCAATTTTGTTAAATGAACTCTTTATTGAAATACCAAATACAAATACAATTAGATGAAGACAGGGACAGAGAGTTTTTTTAAAAAGACTTCTTCATGAATTTTTTTTTCAAGTGCACTTCTTAGGGTGATAATCTTTTTTTCTAGCTAGAAAACATATTTCTTTTTC